ATTTTAATATTGCCGAAGTTATCTGGTATTCTTTAAACATCCTTTAACAAAATATTAAAGCATTTTATAGGGGACGTTGTTAGTGATGTTTTTAACAGAGTTTACACACTTTTCACAGTTCAACCCGAACTTAAACGCAACTTAAAGCGAGATTAGCGAGATGAAAGAAAACACTTGTTCACGCTTATGATGGTATATTGCAACTACTCTGACATTACAGAGTGACATGCACATAGTGGACAAACACAGTAGTAACGACATATGACACTAGATGTCGCTACTTTGACCAATTTTAAATATATAACAGCTACAGTAAACTTTTGGTATACTTATTCACAACACTCCCACTTAACAAAAGTTTACTAATGGTTCTCTAAAACCTTTTAAAATATCTGTCATGCACAACTTAACTTAAACCTAAACCCTTTACAAACTTTGAATTCTTAACATTTTGTAATGGTTTCGTTAAAACATCTGCAACCATTTCGTTAGTAGGTGTATACATTAATTTCACTTTACCTTCTAACACAATATCTCGCAAGAAATGGTACCTTATATCTATGTGCTTTGACCTATCATGGAACATTGGATTGCTAGCAAGCTTCTGAGCACTTTGATTATCATTATGAATCTCAATACAATCCAATTTTCCAGTTAACTCGCTCAACAAATTCCTCAGATATATGGCCTCTTTTGCTGCCTCGCTTAGAGCCATATACTCTGCCTCAGTTGTCGACAAAGCAACAGTACGTTGTTTACAGCTTTTCCATGAAACTGAACCCCCTGAATATTTAAATACATAACCAGTAAATGACTTTCTGTCTTGCTTATTGGACCCCCAATCTGCATCTGCAAAACCTGTCAAATTTAAATTATCCTTAAAAAATTTCATAGACAAGCTCTTTGTACCCTTTAAATAACGAAGTAAACGCTTTGCAGATTGCCAATGAACTTTAGTGTATGAGTTATTATACTGACTTAATAAGCTCACAGCATGAGAAATATCAGGTCTGGTCATTACCGAAAGGTACATTAAACTTCCAATAAGCTCTTGATATGGAACTTTTGGATCACAAATTTCACCACTGATATCGCTCAAGTTGATACTACTGTCAAGCGGAGTACTTACTACTTTGCTATCTGACATACCAAAACGACATAAAAGTTCATTAATATACAATTCTTGATCAATTGACAAACAATTTTTCGAATAATCCCTAGTAATTCTTATACCTAAACATTGTTTTGCCTCTCCTAAATTCTTAATTTTAAACTTTGAGTTTAAATGACCTTCAAGAAACTTCATTTCATTGTCATCAGACGAAAAACAGAAAAAATCGTCAACATAGAGAGCAACAATGGTTAACAAATTACTGTTATTCCTTTTAATGTACAAACAAGGCTCATATTTGGACTTAGAATAACCAATTTTTGACAAAACTTGGTCGACTTTTTCGTTCCAAGCACGACTAGATTGTTTTAATCCATAAACTGCTTTCTTCAATCTATACACTTTATTTTCTTTATCTTTAATGACAAAACCTTCAGGTTGCTGCATAAATACATTTTCTTTCAGAATACCATTCAAGAAAGCTGTTTTCACATCCAAGTGTAAAATTTTTAGATCTAGCCTAACAGACAAAGCAAGCAATAAACGAAAAGTTGAGTGCCTTACCACTGGGGCGAAGGTTTCAACATAGTCCACACCCTCTCTCTGTGTGAAACCTTTAGCCACAAGCCTAGCTCTATACCGGTTATGGCTTTCATTATCACTCTTCACTTTATATACCCACTTGCACTGCACCACTGTACCAACTTCTGGCGGATCTACTAATTCCCAAGTGTCATTATCGATAAATGACTGTATTTCTTCTGACATAGCTTCTTTCCACTTCTGCCCATCTGGCCTTGAAAGAGCCTCAGTCACTGATGTAGGGATACTCGAGTCATAGACTTCACCCTTGCTGTTAACACCTCCAAAATATGTCACAAAATCTTGAAAATTCTTCTTCTTGATCTGTCTTTGGGATCTTCTTGGAGTTACTTGTTCACCATTATCAAACAAGTCATGGCACTGACCTTCAGGCACATATTCATCATCATCCGAGAAGTAACATCATCTTCAGAAGATTCATCATCTGAATACATGGATTCTGCTCTCCCACTGAATCTGGAACTTCCCTTTGCTTATCGGAACACTATCCGGCAACACTGTACTTGGAATTTCCAAACTTGGTTCTCTATGATTGTTACATCACGGCTTACTATGACTTCCTTGTTCTTGGGTTAAAACACCTATATCCTTTGTAGTTTCAATCGTACCCAACAAGC